CTTCCCTGCGCTCACACAAGTAATTTGTAGTTGAACTTGGCTTTGAATCCAGGAAAGTCCGACTTCCGGAATTCACCTTTTTGTGCTCCGTGGTGTCAGGATTACTTGTTTATATAATTTGTGGGCTCCCTCAGACCCCGGTGTTCTTCAGGTTGGGGACTGGCTTTATTATTTCCTCAAGAGAACGTTGCTGGCTAAGTACCTGGGAGCCAATAAATGTTTCATCCAATGAGAAAAGGAGCAGATGAATAAATGAGCACAGTAAATAGAATAAGTACTCACTGGCCCAGTTTGTAATAATGGATAGAAGGTTCAGATGACTTCCATTAGGAAGGCTATTATCCCATACTTGTGCTATTTGTGACAATCAAACATCCAAAAATTCAGGGTTTATAATTTTAGTCTCATACTTGTTCCAGTTATTTGTTGTTCCCATCAGCCATCCTCTCCTCTCTAAAAAAAAAATTTCCCCATCAATTCAAATAAGTCTTCATGTTCATTTCAGCCACAAGACACTATAGGTGTAGGTATTTTTTGAGTTTTTAAATAGATACGTAGCTCTGCTTGAGCCATGCTTTTTTTTAAGTCAACAAATATTTCCTGAGCTCTGACTTAGGGGCTTTTTTTTTTTTTTTTTTTGGTACTGGAGATCGAACTCGGGTCCTTCTGCTTGTGAGGCAGGTGGTGGAACCACTGAGCTAAATCCCCGGCCCTGACTTAGGTGCTTTTGATATATTGGTGAACAAAACATACAGGAAACCGTGCTTTCATTCTGGCTGTGGGAGGTACACAATAGTATAAAGATAATAGGGCTGGGGATTTAGCTCAGTGGTTCTGCCGCCTGCCTCACAAGCGGAAAGACCCGAGTTCGATCCCCCGTACCAAAAAAAAATAATTAGGATAAAGATAATATATAAGGACCTTAGGTAGTATATAGGTGTTAAGTACTATGGAAAAAAAAGAAGATATTAAGTTATTACAAAAAAGATGAAAGGGAACTAGGAGTACAGGGCTGACAAATAACCTTTCATCACAGTTTTGTTCATTCATTCATTGACAGTACTGGGGAATGAACTCAGGGCCTCCTACGGAGTTATCTCCCCAGTTTTTTAAAAAATTTTTTTCTAATTTTTAGACAGGGTCTTGCTAAATTGCCACATTACCCAGGCTGGGCTTTAACTCAGCGATCCTCTTGCCTGAGCCTCCCAGAGTGCTGAGATTACAAGCATGTACCACTACACCCAGCTTGGTTGCAGTTGATAGTATGTGTTTTGATGGATCTCACTGAGGAAAGGAAACATGTTTCCAGCAGAAGTAATAGTAAGTATAAAGGCCCTTAGCAGGAAGTATCCTTGAGATGTGCAAGAACCATTCAGGAGGCCAACATAGAGTAGATGAGCAAAGGGCTGAGTACACAGAGAAGAGGTAAGAGAAGGAACAAGATGTGATCACAGAAGGCCTTGCAAACCATTACAGGGACTCTTTGACTTTGTTTTTTTGTTTGTTTGTTTGTTTTGTACCAGAGATCGAACTCGGGACCTTGTGCTTATGAGGCAGGTGCCAGAACGACTGAGCTAAAGCCCTGGCCCTGACTTTGAATAATATCGAGGGACCACTGGGAGATTTGAGCAGTGATGTGACTTGATTTGTGTTGCATTTTAAAAGAATCCACATGGTAGGGACAGGGATTTAGCTCAGTGGTTCCACAACCTGCATCACAAGCGCAAGGACCTGAGTTCGATCCCTGGTACCAAAAAAAAAAAAAGAATCCACATGGGCATGGTTGTGTATTTGGGAGGCTGAGGCAAAAGCACTGCAAGTTTGAGCACAACCTAAGCAATTTAGTGAGACTCTGTCTCATGAAAGAAAGAAAGGAAAAGGCTGAGTGTGTAGTTCAGTACAGAGGTTCTGGGTTCAATCCCCAGTACCGGAGGGGAAATAAAAAGGATCCTTTCAGGGGCCAGTAATGTAGCTCAGTGGTGCCATGCCTGCCTCGCAAGCGCGAGGTCCTGAGTGCGATCTCCGTTGGGGGGAGGGGATCCCTCCAATGCAGTTTGCAGAGTAGACTGCTGATGGGTATTGGTGGAATTCAGACCAGTTAGGAGGCTACTGCATTAGTTCAGGAGATGAGTTATAACAGCTCTGGTTAGGGTGAGTGTAGTGGAAGTGATGGAATTAAATAATGGATTCTGGATATAATTTGAGTGTAGAACCAAATAGGATTTCTTGACAGATGGAATATGAAGTGTGAAAGAAGTGAGGCATTTAAGGATGTCCATCAAAATTTGGGCCTGAGCCCCTGCAAGAGTGGAGTTGGCAGCCATTGAATCCAGCAAGACTACTAAGGTTTATGGACAGGAGAAATTCTGTTTTAGAACAAGTTAATTTTGAGATGTCTGTTAGATATCTAGATGTTGGTTAGTGTGGGCTTCAGGAGAGATCTGAGTTATCATCACATAGTATTTCAAGTCATGATGCCAAACTGTACTAAAGCCTTTAGAATTAGAGGCCATCAGTGGAGTGAAAATACTTAGAGAAGAGCATGACTATATATTGGATTGAGGAAGAGAGGAGGAACCACCAAAGGAGACTAAGAAAAGACCAAACAAGAAGGTTCTAGGAAGGAGCAAACCCAAGAGAATATACAGTCCCAGAAGCCAAGTGAATCAATAGCATCCCAGCAAAAGGAAGTGGTTATTTGTGCCAGTTGCTGTTGATTAGTTAAATTAGATGTGGACAGAGAAATTAAACATTGGAATTAGCATTGTGAAGATCATTGTTGACCTCTACAAGAGCAGTTTAGGTAGAACAACCCTAATGGAAGTGGATTTAAGAGAACATGGGAGAAGAATTTGAGACAGTGATTATAGATAACTCTGAAGTATAAGTAGACAAGTTAAGACATGGCTTCTGGATCTCAAAGCTTATAATAATTTGTTTTGGGACAATGGGAATAAACACATTTCTGAAACAGCCAACCAAGAGAAAAGTCTATATAATGTTCAGTTGGGTGCATTGTTGTGCTTGGTGCGTGAGGTATGAGTAGGTGATCAGCTAGGAGGGTAGACTATAGTGATACAATATTTAGAGAAGTTTTATAACTAGCTTACATAGTCAAGGAAATAACTGAAGATACTTGCAGTGTTTCTTGCATTGTGCTCTGGGGACCACGTCATCAGTATCTCCTGGGGTGCTTATTAATAATGTAGGTTTCTGGAGATGCAAGCTAACTAGTAAGTCAATAACTCAGGGTGGAACTCGAAATTCCACATATTTAACAAGCTCGCCAGGTGATTTTTTTTTTTTTTTGTACCAGGGATCGAACTCAGGACCTTGCACTTGCCAGGCAGGTGCGGCGCCACTGAGCTAAATCCCAGGCCCCAGGTGATTTTTTTTTTTTTATACACAATAGACTTTGTGAACTGGTAGTCTAAAGATTTTACTGAGTAGATTATGTTCCAGGTTGATGAGTTCTCCAGAACACAAGAATTATGTGAAAAATGGTATGTTGAAAAGTTCACCCTTAACACATACACTTAAAAATTTATGTAAGTGCTAAGAAGTTAAATTTATAGTAGTATTCGTTTGCCCTGGATCAGACCTCATTCAGTTATTGCAAAGTTACGGGTCTTTCATGAAAGGGGCTGCCGAGTCTCTCTGTTAGTTACTAGTTCAATTATGTACCAGAGAAGATGGTTGAGAAAGTATAGCTGGCCACAGGTCCTGGGAACTAGGCACTAAGAAAACAGAACTATGGTGCTCTGGCTGCTTTGCTCAGCTGCCTTGGGGCTAGCCTTACAAACTGCTGAGCTCTGTCTCACATGACGCCTCAAGCTGGGAATCTTGGCCCTATGCTTTCTCAGCCCAGCTTCTCCCACAATCCAAGCAAAGGGTGGAGAAACGCACTTTCTGCCTTGCAAATCAAAAATACTTTGTGTTTTTTTAGTCACTGTGAACACAAAGAATGAACGTCAGCATAGGAGAACTGCAAGTGAGGACCACTCTGCTTAGTGTTGTGACAGGAAGTGATGAAGGACATGGTTGATTTTATTGTGTTCCTCCTTTGAGTAATGATTTTGATTATCAACGATCTCACCATGGGTTTACTATTTGTTATGAGGTCCATATTTCACTAGCTGGTATCTGCAGACATGGATCTGCTGAAGAGAGCATAAATTAATTTCTTCAGTGACCAAGGAATCAACTTTGGGAACTTGTAATTCTACAGTTTCATCCTATCAGCCTACTATTCTGTTCATGCATAAAGTTTTAAGCAGAACTTCCAATGTGTATGCGCATAACTTTCTACAAAAATTTATTGAGTATGGATGGTACTTACAGTGTTAAAAAGTGTTTTATTAGATAGTAATTAATAAGATATAGTGCTTCTCTATGGAAAACCCTAAAATGGCTACTTAAAAATACAGGTGATAAGTGCTATAAAAAGGGGTGTGTCTATACTATTTATCCCTGGATGGGAACGGGGAGTGATGCTGAGGAGGTAAAGAAGAGATTGAGGGAAGGGTGGATGTTGGAATCCAGGCAGAAAAGCCAGGGGCATGAGACAGTGTGTGCTGAGAGAGGGTGGTGGCCATAGACACAGGTAGAGTGCACACTAGATTGGCTCAGGACGCAGAGCTGGGCACTTATGCTTCTATCTGACGTGATCATTGTGATTTTTGACCAGCCGTATGTTTAGAGAACAACCAACTAATGTGGTGGATGGTTTGAGCAGTGTGTTTGACATTTGCACTGGATCCATTTCCCCAGTGTACTATTCAGGACATGTAAAGAATAAGAGATATTTTAATATACTGAGAAAATCTGTCTGTATTTAGATTTAGAATCTTAATAAGAAGATGGTTGGATCCTTTCACTTTGGAAAGCTTAACCTCCTATATTAAATACATAGCATACACCTTTTGGAGACATTTTCATCATATAAGATGTATGGAAGATTACTTGTATGATGTTTTATCCCTTATTTCTTTTCTACTTAGCTATGGCAACATAGGCAATATACTCCGTTTCTTTGCAAGACTAATCACAGCCAAATGTGCTGATGCAGACAGGAAGTTCATTATTTCATATTTTCTCAACGATGGCACACTTTCGGTGTTTGAACCGATAGAGAGGAATTCAGGTAAGAGACATCATTTGTAGTATTTCCCTCAAACATTGAATCTTCATTTTGAAAATTAGACAATGTGTTCTGATTTTGTAGCCTAGTTGGTCTATGATAGAGTGTGTGTGTGTGTGTGTGTGTATGTGCATGCACACATATGTGTGTATTAACCAGTATATTGTACTTGATTTCACAAAGATGTCTAAAATGGGGATCCAAACATGTAAAATGTTAAACAAGGAACAGTTGTGGCTGTCTCAGCCCTGGGATACATCCCTTTCGCCACTATCCCCTCTTCCTCTGTAGTCTCTGAGGTTTTTCTGTGGAACTTAAGGGCTTCAGCATGGTAATCTGGCTGCCACCAGTCCTACTCACAGCTAGCAAGCCTAAAGAAAGTTTGTGTTCTTGGTAGTCTTGCTTATAGAATTGTCATTTAAGTGTAAGGCAAGGATCCCAAATATACAAATTTAATTCAGCATCTGTCTTTTTCCGGCTTTTCTGTCTGTTGAGACTATTGCCAAAGTTGCAGCCCCTAGGCTGATGGGATGCACTCCACAGCCATTGCTGTGGAGAGCCACTGACTTACTAAATAAGGAACTACAGTGGTACCTCCGTTCACGAACTTTATTCTTCCCATGATTCATGATTCTGGTTGCAAAATGAATTGGACAAGAACCAAATCAAAATCAATGGTTATGTTCAATGTTGACCTCATGGGGAAATTTGATTGGGTACTCACCGCATGTGGTTTGCGACCAGAAGGGTGGGAAGAATTAAGTTCATGAACTGAGGTACCACTGTAGAGGGCTCTATTCTTTATCTTGAACATGTTTAAAACTTTTATCTGAGCTGAAGACATACATTTGAGAAGAATACAACCAGCTCTTTGAACAAAATGTAAAAGCTTTGTTTGATACTGTTTGTCGGTTTTCATGGTGTGGATACTTCAATCATGACCAATTTCAAGAAGGCCAGTTTACTCAGTTCGATCCCTGGTACCAGAAAAAAGAATGGCAGTTTAACACTTGGCTTGCAAAATCCCTGAAAACGTAACAGTCGGTTTCTGAGGGGTGGTATGAGCTACTTAGCACACCCATGAGTAATGAATAATTTGTATAAGTCAGTCAGACCCACAGTAATTTGAATAGTAGAAAATCTTAAAATAGGAAAATTGAATAGGGATGAATATGCCATGCAAAACATCAACTCTGTACAGCTAGAATGGGGAAAATGAGAAGCAAATTGCAGCATGTGTTAAGACAGAAAGGGAAATGGTGGTGATTGATTATAAACTTTTAATAATGGCAGCCATCACTGAGTACCTACTATTATCCTTACTTTTCAAGATTAAATTTTGTTCTCCACTACTAGGTCCTCTAAGAAGCAAATGCTGAGGTGAGATTATATGTGCAAGAGATTTATTAGAGGAAATGCTAGTGAGAGAAAATGTTGAGGCCAAAGGAGACTGGAGAGCCATCAGACTGCAGTGCAGTTCCGACTTAGATGTCAGATAGAGGGAAGGAAGAAAGAGGAGGTCTTAGACTGCAGTGGAATTTTAAGGAAGTTTCTGTGAGGCTGAGCCAAAGTTGCTTGGTGGAGGAGCCCTTATCTTTGCAGGAAGGAACTTTGTGCAGTCATTTGTTGGCATCAGCCTTTGAGAAGCATGGCCTTGCACACAACTGAGGATAGATGTTAGCACATGGCAGGTGGAGCCTGCCATCAGTTATGTTCTTCACAGGTGATGATCTGAGAGGCACCCCCCCATACACATGCAAATTTTATTCCCATTTTACCAATAAGAATTCATAGAAGGTCAGAGAAGTTAGAAAGCCCCGAGAGATCATCTAGTAGGCAGTGACAGAGCCAGGATGGAATATAGCTCTATTTGGCTCCAAAGCCTGTGTATTTCCAACACCTGTGGTGTCCAAATATGGTAGCAGGAGTGCAATGAAGCTGATTGCAAAGCTCATCTGGTCTCAGACTATATTCATAGGTACTGGAGGCTCCTCTGCTTGCTGTGTTCCAAGAAATCCCTAAACACATAATGGCTGGAAGAGAACAGATGAAATGGTGAGAATTCTGGAAAGTAAGACATAGGTGGCAAAGCAAAGAAACAAAGACACTTTTAGGAAAAATGAGTTAAGCATCCTCCACATTTATATTCAAACACTTAAGTAATCTCCTTTACAGAAGTGGGCCTTTTTAACCTTTAATCTGCATGTCAGTTTACTTGTGAGACAAATAGGTGGAAATAAGCACAACTGAGGAATTTTTTAACTGATACTATTCAAACAGGCTTTAAGGTTAGTCAACCTCCAGATGTGCCATGCCCCCAGTATGCTGTAGGGCAAGACTGCAGATCCTTGTATGTGTTTATTGGTCTAGGAAGAGAGAAAGAAAAGAAGAAGGAAAAAGCTGGACTATCATAGCACTTGTTTATTTAACACATTCACCTAGAAGGTCTTTTTTCTTTACCCATTGCTTGCTTCTTCCCTGAAGTCAATGAGACTTCACAGATAAGTTGTACAGTCTGTGTCTGAGGATGAACTACCTCCAAAGAGAAGTCATGGTTCTTTTAAGAAGAAAGGACACCCATAAGCTTTTCTGGTTTTCTACAGGTTACACTGGTGGGCTGTTCCTGAAAAGAAGTCGTGTGAAGAAGTTTGGGCAAGAAGTCTTTAAAAGTGAGCTCTCAGAATATATCAAGGTCCAGGACCTGTATGTTGGAGCCAAAGTGAACGTGAATGGCAACCTATTTGTGTTGCTCAATGCTGATGAGTACACCTTAAACTACATGGAGAAGAATGTAGACAGGGTGAATTTACTTTGTATAATTCTTGACTTGCCACTCAGCCCTTGGCAGTGTGTGTTTTTCTTTTGCTAGGGCCTTTTCTTCTTCATCTTGCCACTGGTTTTACATTGTGCATTCACACATGTGGGCATGAATAATGGATCCGTGCGACTTGGCCACAGGTCCCATTGCAGAGGCCAGGTTCTTGTCTCCTCTGTTTACACGCTTGGCTCTCCACTGCCCAGCATCACAGATTCCAGGCACAGGCAGGAGGCAAGCCCAGGGTTGAATCAAGTTTCCTGGGTTTTCTGCTGACACTAACAATGTTTTCAGAAAGAAATCCAGCAGCTATAGGAAAGGAAGAAAATCCGGTGCCACACACTGTGCCATCCTAGTTAATTGGTGCAGGCCAACAGAGAAGGCCAAGACTGGAACAAACAGAAATCCCAAGGGAACTCCATAGTTGCTGGGGTTGCAACTTCCTGTGACAGTGGCCACCTGAAGCCTAAATAAGAATTTAAGTTAAAATTTGCCACTGTGAGCTCAAAGAGGTTTTCTTTTTACTTGAAGTAAGCTGGAAGATGGGTAGTGTTTCTAAAAGTACTATTATGGCAATGCTATTCAGTAAAAAGGACATATTGGTAAAGTCTTGCTTTTAAATGTGGACTTATTCAGTGTGCAACCATGTCTATTTGAGAATCACTGCTTAACATGGAAAAGTCTTATCTAGAAAGATTTTATTTTAAAAGTTCACCTGTAATAATATCTGTAACATTTATATATGTATATACAGTACCAATTTTGACTCATCCTTTATCCATGAAATGCTCAGGGTTAAGTTGCTAGCTTGAATATCACATCATTCACATCAGTTTGGGTCTTTTGAGTAGCAGATCCCAAGATAGAATTAGATGTGCAAGAGGTGTGTTGACAGAATGCCTCTGAGGAATAAGGGGAGAGGGAGCAGGAGGAGGCATCATGTGTGCAGAACCTTCAGACCAGGGTGCAAGGCTAACCCTTGTGAAAAGAAAGAGGAAGGAAGGCTGGGTGTGAAGGACTTTAGCCATACAGTGTAGCTCTGAGAAAGTTTTGGCCAGGTGAATGGGGAGCCAAGAGTTAAGCTGGCCCATCCAAGTGGTCCCAAGTCACTCAAGTGTGGCCCAGCTCTAGTCCATTTGTTGTGCTCCTTCATCAGGTGGGATAGACTGGGGAGTGTTTGGCCTATGTGTGAACACTGCATGGATGTGTAAGGCACACTCCCAGAACGTTGCTAATTAACAATGCTTTTCCCTACAGGGTCTCTCTTGAGAGAAGCCCTGGGCAGCACTCTCCATGGCTGCCACCTCACCTCTCCATTTGTAGCAAGGGAGTCAGGTCATTGTAAGACCACGAAGCAGTAGCTGTATGAAAACACTGGACTCCAGGCGGAAATTCAGTAAACAGGCAGTTAGATTTCCGGAGACCGGCAAGTGGGCCTACCTTGGAATCTGTAGTCCACACTTCATAGCTGAGAGACTCTAGTCAGTTATCTTTCCTGAGCTTCAGTTTCCTTGTCTTTGAAAGCAAAGTAGCATCGTTGCGTTTTTCATAAAGTTGTTAGGTAGATTAGATATGATGATAATGTGAAGTAGTTAGCTTTGTGTGGCCCATGGTAAGCTTAGTCATTGTAGCAATAAATTAAGAGTTCTCTTTCCAAACACAGGGTGAACCTATACCTTGATATGAGATACACTCATGATACTTGACTTAGGATTGTGGAACTTAGGACTTTTTGACCTTACCATGGTGCAAAAGCAGTATGCATTCAGTAAAAACTGTATTTCAAAGTTTGAATTTTGCTCTTTCCCTGAGTTAGCACTGTGTGGTCCAATCCTCTGTCGTGATGCTGGGCAGTGGCACCAGTAGCTCCCCATCAGCCCCACCATCGCAAGGGGACACAACTGGCACTGTGTGGTAGTTTAGATGTATTCAGTGTGTTTACAACATCAGATATTTTCAACTTACAATTGGTTTATCAGGATATAACCACATCACAATTTGAGGACGATCTGTATATAGAAAACATGTTTTATTGTTTTTGTTTTTGTGGTGCTAGATTGAACTCAGGGCCTCACACACACTCGACCACTGAGTTTCACCCCCAGCCAAAACACATAGTTTTAATATATAAAGAGCTTTTCTCCTTCCTGAATGATAAAAGCAGGATAGGGCATTATCTGAAATCAGCATCCCCAGTGAAAATTGCATAATTTTTTTTTTGTTGTTTTTGTTTTTTTTTTTTTGGTACCGGGCATTGAACTCTGGTCCTTGCGCTTGCGCAGCAGGCGGTGAAACCACTGAGCTAAATCCCCGGCCCGAAAATTGCATAATTTTAAAACTACTTTTAAGAAGCAGAGAAAGATGAATATGTTCTTTAATACCAGTCTGAGTCTTTTCAAAAGAACTAATAGATCCTATTATTGAAATAGGAGACAGGAAATGATGCAAAACGGAGAGGGAGTGGGGGCTCCAGTAGGTGCCAAGACACCTGGGTTATATTCTCGTGGAAAAGAGGAGCTTTATACTAAATTACCATCAATGTTTTTATTCTAGAATTTCCTCTTCTCATTTTTGATCTCTTAGCTGTAATTATTTACAACCTTATGCTTTACTGCATTGAATAAGAAGTATTCTTACTGAGTCAAAAAGCTAATCACAAAGTAGGAGGCAGGGACAGTGAGCAACCCAGAGAATGAATGTGTGGGAGTTATGGTGCCCATGTGGATCTTGGACACTCAGCCTTGCTCTGATCAGCGCATCACATGGTGGCCAACAGATCCAGGGGAACCCATTCTAAAGATCAGGAGAAAATGAGAGTCTTAAGTACCAGAGTTTGAATTCTCATTCTTTTCATTAGGGTCTGTCAATACTGGGCTGGTATCCTAGGGTTACAGGGAGGAGGCTGAGGTGGAGGCACAGACTGTTTTCTGGTCTTTGTGGTTTGCTGTCCCTTAAGATAATTTTTCCCAGATCTGCATCTTAGGCTTATGTCTCTTGTTCCTAAAGTCTTAACTCAGGAGGTCACAAAGCTAGTAATGTTTTCTCTGTGTTGGCCTCTTTGGGTACACTGTGTGCAGTCTCTTTGTAGGCCATCAGAAATATTGGGTTCCAGTCATTAAGAAATCAAGCAATAATGAGTGCTGATATGGCTGTGGTGAAAAAGGAACCCTCTTTCATTGTTGGTGGAAGTGCAAACTAGTACAACCATTATGGAAATCAATAAGGAGATTTCTCAAGGAACTGAAATTAGAAATTCCATGTGACCCAGCTATGTATACTAGGTATCTTTCTCAAAGAGCTTAAGTCATCATACTACAGTGAGATATCCATACCATTATTTGTAGCAGCACAATTCATAATAGGTAAATCCTGGAAGCAGTCTGTATATCCATCAACAGACAATTGGATAAAGAAAACGTGCTATCTGTATATAATGGAATACCTACTTGGCTATAAAGAATGACACATTTGGGGCTGGAGATGTAGCTCAGTGGTTCCGGCACCTGCCTTGCAAGGGCAAGGTGCCGAGTTCAATCCCCGGTACCAAAAAAAAAGAATGACACATTTGAGACATTTGTAGAAAAATGAATGCACTTAGAAATTGTAATGTTAAGTGAGATAAACTGGATACACAAGCTTAAATACCATATGCTATCTCTTATTTGAGTAAAGCAAGGCACAAACAAAGAGTATAATAAAGGATGGATAGAAAGGTACAAGGGGATGGATCTCTTGCAGTAGGAATGTAGTCCAAGGGAACGAGGGTCAGGGGTTAGGAAGAGGGGAAGGGGAAATAAGTAGAATAAAGATATACCATGTACAGGAACCTAATAACCCCAATTAATGTGAACATTATGGGCCATAACATGAGCTAAGACAAAATATCAACAGGAATGAAAAATGGGATAGAGGACCTGGAGGAGTAGGGAGAGGAAGGAGAGGGAAGGAGATTAAAAAAAAGAAAAAAATATATACATGTAACCATTCTGCCAAGACAATTGTAAACTATATGAACTGCAAGCATGTACAAATAAAATTAAAAATCAAAAGAAAATATTGGACTCCAAAAGTCTCAGGCATATTTATTAAATATGTCTATCATTTTTCCCTTCTAGTTCCCATTTAGCAGTATTGAACTTGCCCTACAAAAGCTGAAAGAAGAAGAATCAAAATCAACAAAGATCAGGCAGGTATTTTCAGCTACTGACTGTAACCACACAAAGATGGTGGATTTTAATACATTCAGGTAAGCTATATTCTGCTACAACAGTCCTTTTATCCCTCATGATTGTCCAAAGAGCACAAAGAACAGTTACTTTCCGAATGATTCTTAATCAGTTTCCTTGCATTTGTAGTACTTTGAGGTTGTGCTCGTTTTGGCAGCGCATATACTAAAATTGTAGTACTTTGTGGTTAAGTGTTAGCCACTAATATTATAGTAAGTTCTATGCATTTAACATATAAGAGAAGTTTATAGGTGGAAACAAAGACAAAAGCATATTAAGTCACTTGGTCATGTTGTCTTATTAATCGTGGTGTTAAAAGATCAGGGGGTGTCAGGGAGGGTGCATCTGAGTGAGAAAGGCAGAAAAAAAGTACAGCTAAGAGCCCCAAAATGTTTACCTCCAAAATCTGGATGGCAAAGGGATAGAAATACAACTAAGTTGGAAAAGGTAGTGAAAACTTTACTGATTATCAGAGGAAAGGTAATGTGCGTGTATCTCTATGTATATATGGTCAGACACATGTATTCTGAAAGACAAAAATACAGGAATCAAGGGGAAAATATATGACATTAGTTAGAATTATCATAAGAAATCATGAACAATAAAGATTTTCTGTAAGGTAAAGCAGAATTCTGGGACTGTCCAGTGAGTGACCTAGGCAAATTTCCAAACAGCCGAAACAGGGAAATTCAAATTCAGGGTCTAGCACAATTGTGAGAATTCTTAGCTTGAAAACAAAGTGAATGGAGTGTTCAGGAGAATGTAAATTAAATCGTGTGTGGAGGACAAAGGAGACTTTCTCTTTAGGCTGAGAATTTTGGCTCCTGAGAACAATAGTGGATGAAGCTATATAGTAAACTGGGTTTAATGTACTCAGAATGTGAGCTGAAGTGAGGTAGCGAGCCCAGACGAGGGTAGCAGGGAGGTCTTTCCAACTTTTTGTCTAAGGCTGCCTGTTGCATCACTACCTGGTGGCCTACAGCCCACAATGAGGCCTAAAGTGTCCCATGAGTTCTTCTGTTGCTTTAACAAAGCTCTTTTGTATCTTCAAAATGTACTTGTAAGAGAAGCAGTCAGAGGACATACTTTTATTGTTTAGAATTCCCAACCTTCTTGGATCAGTAAGAATTTATAGTTCTTTGTTATGTTCATAGGCACATACACATGTTCATGGTGTTCTGGAAAATAAAATGGTGACAGATTAAAGAACAAAGATAATTATTTAGGCCATGAACTAATAGAGAGCAGTGGAGGAGAAAACAAATTTCCAGCAGAAATGAGGGAATGGTTTTGTTTTATTATTTTTTTGTCCCTTTACAAAAGCATCCATTCTCTTCTCACAAAGACTACTGGAAATACTTTAGTGAGTTCATGGGTTTTTTTTTTTTTAATTAGTATATATTTGCAATACATAGTAATTACATTCACCTTGGGGCATTGGTTCATATACATATTGCATTTTGATCATTTTTATTCCCCTTCCCTCCATGCTTTTCTCTCTCCCACTTCCCCATATTCCTTTCCCATCTCCACAAAGTCTATCTCCCTGTTTCCTACCATTTCTCCTTTATTTTGCAAAGGAAAAATTATAAGAAAAGGAAAAAATGGAAACAAAGTTTTTGTAAATAGGGAAGGGTAGAGGGGCTGAAGGGAGGACAGGGAATGGGGAAAACATAAGAACCAAGATACATCATGTACAGGTACAAGTACCCAATGATAAATGTAAATGTATTGTATGCCTAAAATGTACCAATAAAAGAATTTAAGGAAAAGAAATTATATTTCAAGTTTCTCATATAACTGAAACCATGTGATATTTAAGCTTCTGTGTCTGGTTTAGTTCACTTAGCATTATAGTCTTAAGATCTATTTATTTTCAAACAAATGACTCAAATTTATTCATCTTTATGGCTGAGTATTACTCCATTGTGTATGTATCATATTTTCTTTATCCATTCATCTGTTGATGGGCCTATGGTATAGGCTGCTTCTATAATTTAGCTATTGTGAATTGCGTTGTTATAAACATAGCTATGCACATATCACTATATATCATGACTTGAACTCTTTAATCATGAGGATTTTTGGGAAGTACCTCAGCTAGGCAGTATAACCAAGGAAGAGAAACTGCTCTCCTGGTGGAAGCCTGACTCAAATTATGGGTGAGGAAAAAGGGTTGTCACACTGTGTGATTGGAGGGGTGGCTTCAAAGCACTGCATGCTCTGAAAGAAAAAGCTTCCCATCCCAGAAATTCCTTAAGACAAAAATCAGCTCAGGTTACACCCTTCCTGAAAAAATCCTTCAGTGGTTTGTCATTGCCCTTCCAAGATCCAAACATTTGACTGAGGCTAACAGGGCCTTGAGTGATATGACTGTCTATATTTCTAGTCTCACCAGTTGTTTTTCCCCAGCCCTGTCCTCTGACTTTGCTGGCTGCTTTTTAGTTCCCAGTCACATCAGGCTCTTTCCGGCCTCTAAGCCTGTGCACATGCAGTGGTCTCTGCCCAGGAGGCCCTCTCACCACCCTTCTTTCCATGTGGAATTCTTGGACTCATTCCTCGAGGGGCTTTCTTTCTCCACTTATCCTATGTAAAGTAGATTATACACTGTTATTCTTAGTCCCTTGTTTATGTTTTTCATAGCACTTAGCATAGTTTGTGGTTTTAGAGATCTGTTTACTTGACAGGAGTGTGTTTGTATTTGTTTTCCTCTATTCCAATGTGAGCTCTCTGAGACCAGGGACTTTGATGTCTTGTTCACTGCAGTATCCCCAGCCCTTAGGGCTGGGCTCAGTACAAACAAAGTTATTGAATGAATTAATAAACTGCTAAATTTATTCCTTAGAGCAGTGGTGGTGAATCTATGGCATGCGTGTCTCAGTGGGCTGTTTGTATCATTGAAAGCTCGAAAAGTTTTACCATTACTGCCTTAGAGATTCTAGTTTGGAGGTATTTGGAGTGTCTCTGTATTAGCCTGTTTTTTCATTGCTATACCATAATACCTGAGGCCAGGTAATGTATAAACAAAAGAGGTTTATTTAGCTCACGGTTTTGGGGGTTCAAAGGCCTGGTACCAACATTTGCTCAACTCTGGTGAAGACCTCGTGACAGATGTTATTATGGTGGGAGCACATGCAGAAGAGATCATATGGGGAGATAATAAGTCAAGAGAGTGGAGAGGGGCCAGTATTTTTTCTTTTATAAAAATCTGGGAAGAACTAACCAGGGCCCCATGAGAAGTATATTAATCCCTTCATAAGGCAGTGCTCCTAATTACCTAATCACATCCCACTAGTCTTCACCTCTTAACAGCTGTACCTCCTCTCACATCATCACACACATCCATGCTTGGGGTACAGATCACATCCATACGTGAGGAGTCACCAAATGAGAGTATAGCCAAGAGTCACAATGTCCTGGTCCGTATGACATGCTCACAGTGAGACACTGAGCCCTCTGGGCTTGGGACTCCACTTCTGTGCTTGGCTCACCACTGTCATTCCCTGCACACTGGCTTCAGTCCTCTTAATGATTCTCACACACCTGCCTGGGTAAAGACAGAGGAACAACATAGATGATGGTCACTTCAAGTCATACCTTCGTTTAATTCTGTGCTCAGTGCTTTCATTAGTAAATACTTCTCTTTTACGTGTTTGTGTGTGTATTCTGACTCTTACCAGGAGTTAACCTGCTTTAGTCTTATCCCTAATCACAATGCCTAACAAATGAAGGATTAATAAGTATGAGTTGATAATAAGTATAATAAGTATGAGTTGGATACATTTTATGTAGCCCTTACTGCTTTGGCTGAAACCTTTCCCTTGACCTGGAAATAGGAATATCTCTGGGATATCTCCCCTTGGACTCCCTTGCCTAAGGAAGATCCCAAATAACTTTCCTTAAATCAACCTCATTTTCCTCTCTCATGAAATTGTATCTTGGGACCGTGTCCTGGTAAAAGTCACTATGTATGTTCCCTCAACTCAGGCCTGAGTCTTGCTTGACTCTCATTTCCCTTCTGTCTCACTTTTCCTACTCACACTTTGGAACTGTATTTCTTACCTACCTTTGGAAACTTCCCAACTCTCCATCCCCAGCTTCAGAGTTGTAGATAGCAGTCTATGAGTCTTTCCCCTGACTCTCTGGAAAGTTGCACCACTGATATTTTCTTAACTGTTATACTACAGTGATTTGCCAAAATGACCTTCTTAAAATCTGATCAGATCATTCCTCTGCTTCAAACCCCAAATCAGTTCTTAGTTGTTTTCAGGAAAAACCCCAGCTGTTCAGTGTAATGTGAGTTTGGTCATAATCTGTCCCTTGCTTACCTCTATCCCCTTATTTCCATCTTGCTACAAGAATACTTTTTTAGAATCCACTATTTATTGAGCACATACTATGGGCTAAGCAGCCTGCTAAATTCTTTATATCTTCTGTCCACATGGAACCCCTGAGCTGTTACTTGTTTACTTACCTGCCTCCACAATTCTGCCAAGTACAATAGATGTTAGTTGAATAATTTAATGAATGCTTCTATTTCTTGAGGAACATTCAGTCTAAAGCTTGCAGCAAACAAATAATTGATTACTTTTCACGAGGCAGGGCCATCTGTCTCTAGCTTTTTGGAGTCAAGGAAAGCTAGACCCCACCCTCACCAGCCAAATGACTTGGGCATCCCCACATTACCTCCCTGCCTCTCACTCTTGTCTGTATATTAGACTCTGAGGTCCTTTCTGTGCTCTTGACATTCTGAAACTCTTAAAACTGTAGGGTTATCATACTATTGTAAACTGTTCCCCATTCAAATTTATATGTTGAAATAGTCGAGAAAAGTGGAGGCCGAATTGCAGAATAGGCCTCTGTGCTTCACCTCTGTAGGCCTGAGAATCTGTTCAGCTCAGATGCCTGACTCGCTTCTTATATACCTGGGGCCTCAGAGCCCAGACCTGCTGTGTAGTCCAAGTCCCTCCTTCCTCTCAGGAAAACTTTGAGGGTGGGGGCTTATAATCTCCTTTTGCAT